GACTTAAAAATAAGAATAATATGATCATCTCAATAGATGCAGAAAAAGCATTTAACAAAATACAGAACCCTTCATATTCAAAATACTAGAAAAATTAGGGATTAGAAGAACATTTCTTAACATTGTAAAAGCTATCTATGCTAAGCCCCAGGCCAACATCATTCTAAATGGAGAAAAATTGAAAATATTCCCTCTAAAAACTGGAACAAGACAGGGATGCCCTCTTTCACCACTTCAATTAAACATAGTTCTTGAAACACTAACCAGAGCAACTAGATAGATGAAATAAAATAGATGGTGTATGGATAGGAAAAGAAGAACTCAAATTAGCACTATTTGCTGATGACATGATTCCATACCTCGAGGATCCAAAAAATTCCATCAGAAAATGTTTAGGACTAATAAATGAATTTGGCAAAGTAGCAGGATATAAAATCAACACCCATACATCAAAGGAATTTTTGTACAAATCCTCTGAAAAAGAACCTAGGAAAACTACCTCATTTACAATAGCCTCAAAAAAAAATACTTGGGAATCAACAAAAGAAGTGAAAGAACTGTACAGTGAAAACTACAGAATGCTAAATAAAGAAATTAAAGAAGACCTTAGAAGATGGAAAGATCTCCTTTGTTCTTGGATAGGCAGGATTAATATTGTCAAAATGACCATACTACCACAAGCATTATACAGATTTAATGCAATTTCAATCAAAATCCCAATGACATTCCTCAAAGAAACAGAAAAAGCAGTCATGAAATTCATTCAGCAAAGTAGCAGGATAGCCAGACCCAGAATAACCAAAGCAATCCTTAGCAAGAAGAGTGAAGCAGGTGGTATCACTATACTAGACCTTAAACCATATAACAGAGCAATAATAACAAAACAGCATGGTATTGGCACCAAAAAAGACTTGTAGACCAATAGTACAGAATAGAGACACACAGACAAACTCACATAAATACAATTATCTCATATTAAACAAAGGCACCAAAAACAAATACTGGAGAAAATATAGCCTCCTCAACAAATGATGCTGGGAAAACTGGAAATCTATATGCAGCAAAATGAAATTAAGGCCCTGTCTCTCACCATGCACAAAACTCAACTCAAAGTGGATCAAGGACCTAGGAATTAAACCAGAGACCCTGCACCTAATAGAAGAAAAAGTAGACCAAAGTCTTCATCATGTTGAATTAGGCCCTGATTTTCTTAATAAGACTCCTATAGTGCAAGAAATAAAATCAAGAATCAATAAGTGGGATGAACTCTAACTCAATAGTTTCTTCTCAGCAAAAGAAATAATCAGTGAAGTGAATAGAGAGCCTACAGAATGGGAGCAAATTTTTACCACACACACATTATAAAGAGCACTAATCTCTAGGATATATAAAGAACTCAAAAATATTAACACCAAAAAACCAAATAACCCACTCAATAAATGGGCTAAGGAACTGAACAGATACTTCTCAGAAGATGATATACAATCAATCAACAAATATATGAAAAAAAAATGTTCATCATCGCTAGCAATTAGAGAAATGCAAATCAAAACTCAGATTTCATTTCACTCCAGTCAGAATGGCAGCTATTAAGAATACAAACAACAATAAGTGTTGGCGAGGATGTGGGGAAAAGGCACACTCACACACTGCTGGTGGGACTGCAAATTGGTGTAGCCAATATGGAAAGCAGTATGGAGATTTCTTGGAAAATTGGGAATGGAACCACCACTTGACCCAGCTGTACCTCTCCTCAGTCTATACCCAAAGGACTTAAAAAACAGCATACTATAGGGACACAGCCACATCAATGTTTATAGCAGCACAATTAACAATAGATAAATTGTGGAACCAACCTACATGCCCTCGAGTAAATGAATGGCTAAAGAAAATGTGGTATATATACACAATGGAATATTACTCAGCAGTAAAAGAGAATAAAATCATGGCATTTTCAGGAAGTGGATGGAGTTGGGGAATATAATGCTAAGTGAAGTTAGCCAATCCCCCTCAAAAACAAATGCTGAATGTTGTCTCTGATATGAGGATGCTGGTCCATAATGGGGATGGGGAGGAGCAGGGGAGGAATAAAGGACCTTTAGCTAGGTAGGGCAAAGGGGATGGTGGGGAAGGAAGTGGGTATGGGGGAAGGAAAGATGGTGGAATGAGATGAACATCATTACCCTAAGTATATGTATGAAGACACGAATGGTGTGACTTTACTTTGTGTACAACCAGAGACATGAAAAATTGTGCTCTACATGTGTACTGTAAATTGAAATGCATTCTGCTGTCATGTATAACAAATTAGAATAAATAAATAAATTTAAAAAATTGACAAATGTACAGATCACAATCCAAACATGCAATGAAACTCATGAGACTGGAATCTTTGTATAATGAGACCCTCCATGAGATCTTGTTTTTATTCTCATCTCCTTAGAATTCCTCCCTTACTGAATTTAGATAGTGAGTATTCTGGTGGGGGACATTTTTAAAAAAAATTTTGTGGTTAATGACAAAATTTAGAGTGCCCCAATTGGGGGGTAACCACACAACCCAATGGTTCTTTAATTTTGTTTTTAGAAGAATCACCTGGGATTTCAGAATCCCACAAACTGGAGATTGGGATTCAATATTATAGGGTAGGTCTAGGAATCTGTACAGGTATCTATCTATCTGTCTGTATATCTATCATCTATGGATCTATCTATACATGTATATACTGGATGAGGCTGATGTAGTTGGTTGGTCCATGGACCATGCTTTGAGAAAAGTATTTTCTGCCAAAAGTATTTTCAGAGACCAAACCCAGATTAAGTTTGATGGCTGTGGTGTCTAAAATAAGCAGTGAGCTTTCAGAAAAAATGCTCTATTATAGACATCCATTTATGCATTTTTTCAGTTAATATATTAAACTGTCACTATGTATCAGGGCCTGCACTTGACACTGGGATGGGTGAGAGATGGGCCAAGACTTTCTGGCTAATATGAGACTAACAAGCAAAGGAATAACTCCCAAATAATGTAGAAAATGCAAAAGCATGGATCTTAGACATTCTCAAGGGATTTATCTGTGTTTTTTCAAATTTGCTGTACAATTCCCCCTCCTCCCACAAATAAGTCTGTAATCAAGAATGAAGAGCAACAATCTCAGCAAAATATAGAATCCGGGCTGTTACACAGATTCTTTTTTACTCAGTGACCTCCACAGAATTCTGTTCCAATTTTGATCAGTAAAATGATAATTGTTTATCAAGATCCATCTGGTCTGTTAAGAGAGTTAAATCCACAATTGTCAAAGGTTATCTGAGATTAAACTTTTGTAGAGTAGTGCTTCTCAAATATAAGCAAATTTATTAAAACCCAGATACTAGATCTTTATATAATGTTTCAAGTAGGTCAGGAGTAGGGTTATGAATGCTCATTTTTAGTGCTCTCCCAAGCAATGCTGCTGGTCTAAAGACCACAGTTCTAATAACAGTCTTAGGTGCATTAGAGGCAGCATTGAGAAACTAGTGATTAATATCTTTGATTGAGAAATGATGGGACATGAAGATGAGGAAGCTCTTCACAAAGGACCTTGGGTGTGGAAATTACTGTCAAAAAGGGAAAATCATAGCTAAGGAGAAGGTGTCCAGGCAGATGGAATTCTCTGTGCAAAATGGAGTGGCACAGGGCATCAGTGTGTAAAATCTAAAAGCCTACACTGACGCCACAGACAATGGAAAATAACGTAGCTCCTACTTGAGCAGCAGAGGAAATGAAAGCAATGGAAAAACTGAGCTCCCACTTGAGCCGTGGAGGAAATGGAGACAATGGTATTTCAGGCTTGAGGAAACAAATTGTGCCAAGAGATAGCAGGATGCACTGGTGCTAGGCGTTCTCCTTGAGATATTTCTATGAAAGGATGAGTGGTTTGTTTCTGGGAATCAGATAAGTACAGTTATTCCTGCAGATATTGTTGTGAGCTCCCATCCAAACTTGATTCTGTAATATTAAAAATGCACTTAGAATTTGAGGGCATGAAAATTTAAAAAAATGCTTTATAGGTGTTTCTACATATACAAAATCTATTTGATTAGGCTTGAAACACACCCCCGCTTGCAAAATAGAATGCCAACTTCTATGAGAGAGGGGACAGTCTCTCCAAAGCTCCTGTCAGGATCGCCCTAATATATGCATTTAGAGCCGCAAGTTCAACTTAGGTTATAACCCTTCAACTATATTCCTTGGCAAAGAATCCCATAATAACCCAGTCTCTCATTAGAGAGCTGCCAGAGAATGTTGTGTTATTGGGCAGCAAAGAACACTGCTCTGGTCAATAGATGTAATAATTGGACATTCTCATTAGCAGTATCTGGAGTTCACAGTAAGAAAACACTACAGGAGAAAGAACATCAGTAATTGTGACCCCAGGACTTTCTCCTTGCTGGGTTTTCATTTCTCTTTCCAGGAGGACTGACACGACTTTTGCAAGAGGAAATGAATGATCCCCAAACCCAACAAAGTCAAACAATCTCTGCGTGTGTTTCTAAAGAATATCCACTTTTACCATAAATTTTTTTTGTTTGATGACAGGTGAATTTTCTCTCTTTTTTATGCCCTCTATCAGTGGCTATATAATTCTGGATCCTGGAGTATTTCCACTTTCATAAAGAGTGGAGCTTAATCTCAGCCGTGACTAATAGCTGAGGCTAGTCCTATGTGAAGAGCCCAACACACTCTCTCCTTCAATTCTCACCATCCAGATCCACAGGCAAACCAGCACTGCAGGGTTGGCTGCAGAACAAAAGCCAGGGGCTCTTTATTTGCTACTGATTGGCTTGGTAAATGAATTTGTCACAGAAATGCTCTCTGAAAGGACCAACCCAAATCTGTTGGCTTTTATTTACTTACTTTCTCCTGCCAAGAATTGGGCTTGACTCTGGTTCTTTCAGAGACCCCTTAGAGCTCATGCATTCATATTAAATCTCTGCTTCGTGCCAACCACAGTGCCAGGTGCAGGGCTACTATGAACAATAGGATTCAGCTTAGAACTTTCTTCCTGATAGAGGAGATCGATAAGTAAGCAGCTTTTCCCCTTCTTTGCTGGCAGACAGCGCAATGTGTAAACTGACTTCCTGAAGGGAGTTTGCCTCCCAGGTAAAGCATTAGTTGGGGTCAGGGTGATTCTCCTTGGAAGGGAAGAAAGGCACACAGGACAGGATTAATAGGAAATGCAAAATCATAGGGACTCTTTGGCCTTTAGAAACCCATAGGAAATTTGGATTGAGTTTGGATTGGATTGGGTAGTGCCAGGAGTTGAAGGTGGAGATACAGGAGGGCCACATAGCGACTGGCTCAATAAATGGTGCAAGGGAAAAACAATTCACGGTATCTCTTAAGAGTCTGCATCTGTGTATGTGTCTTGTCTATACCACATGCATCATCTGTATAATGGAATAAAAATTATGCTTATGTCCCAGGACTGCTGTATCAAATGAGGTAATGTATGTCGATTATCAGCCTATTTATTGGATTTTTTTTTTGATGTTGTTCTTTATGAGTTGTAAAACTGTAATAGCAGTGACAGCAGAGATACGGGCGCTTTTTTTTTTTTTTGGGTACTGGGGATTGAACCCAGGAGTGATTAACCTCTGAGGCACATCCCCAGCCCTTTTTAATGTTTTTTATTTAGAGACAGGGTCTTTCTAAGTTAGCTAAGTTGTTCAGGGCCTTGCTATGTTGCTGAGGCTGGCTTTGAACTTGCAATCCTCCCGCCTCAGCTTCCTGAACTGCAGGGCTTACAGGAATGCACCACCACACCTGTCCTGGGGCTGTTCTTGTTGGTTGTGAAGGTCATAATATTTCTGCTGCAACTTTCCCCTCTGTGTCTGTGATCAATTGTGGAGAACCTGAAAAGGAAACTCTGGAGAGCCTGTTATTATCCCGCTGGTGCTGGAATGAATGGCAGGTAAGGAACTGTCTGGAGAAAGTCTGAGAGTTCTGGGTCCCCTCCTGAGCACAGGTTTAGAGATAAGTTGGGAGCATCTCTGCAGGAGAATGAACAAAACCTTAATCAGACCAGTGAGGATAAAGAGTGAGTTTAATAACACGTATGTCTTCAATATGCATGTCCCGTCTAGACTCTGCTTAACTTGATGCTGCTCTCTAGTGGTCCATAGGGAGAGAACATTTCCAGTTCACAGAGTGGGAATGAATACATTGTACAATGTGTGCAGACCATGGAATACTATGCAGCCCTTTTATTTTATTTTCAAATTAGCAGATTTTTTTAATTTTAAATTTTTGTAAGAATTTCCTTTTTGGCTTCTTTTTTTTAAAATTAATATTCTTTTGTTGGTGAATTATAATTTTACCTAAGAGTGGAATTCATCATTACATATTTGCACATGCACACAATTTAATAATATAGTTTGGTCAGTTTTATTCCCTAGAACCTCCCCTTACTATTCCACCCTCACTACCCCAGTTTCCCTTCCTCTATTCCACTGGTCTTCTTTCTATTTTCATGAGATTCTCCCCACCAAGTGTTTTTTTTTTTTCATTTTCTTTTTCTTCTCTAGCTGCGACATATTACAGAAAACACACGACTCTTGACTTTCTAAGTTTGGCTTATTTTGCTTAACATAATTCTCTCAAGGTCCATCCATTTTCCTGCAAATAACATAATTTCATCCTTCTTTATGGCCAAGTAAGGCTCCATTATGTATATATTCCATATTTTGAGAAGTCCATTCATCAGTTGATGGACACCTAAGCTGGTTTAATGTTTTGCAATTGTGTATTGTGCTGCTATAAGCATGGGTGTATTGCTATAGTATGCGACTTTAATTATTTATGATAAATACTGAAAGCGGTATAGCTGGGCCATATAGTGGTTCCATGCCTGGTCTTTTGAGGAAACTCCATACTGATTTCCACAGTGGTTGTGTTGGTTATGGTTACCTCAACAGTGTAAGTGCTCCTTCTTCCCCATATCATTTCTCTCAGCATTTATTATTAGTAGTGTTCTTGATGACTGCCATTCTAGTTGGGGTGAGATTAAATCTAAATGTAGTTTTGAGTTTCTCTGCAGTCCTTTTAAAAGAATGAATTAAAGTGATCCTGGTAGAGTTGGAAGAAATTCTAGGAGGATTTGAGGGAGAAAAGCAGGGTGCAGAAAAGAACAACTAACATGAACTTAGTCCTGTAAGGCAATGACCAGAAAAAGTTGTTCCTATAAAGTATAAGTGTGAATGTAGAGGATAGAATTAAGTAGAATTATGTGAGTAAAAATAATACATTAAAAAATATTGATTAGGTTGTAAAAATGGAGTCCCTTGGAATGAGAGTAATGACTGATCCATATAGACAGAAGATAAAAGATTGAAAAAGTCAACCGAAATGAAAATAAAAACTCTACATTATATATATATATATATATATATATCCATTATATCCATTATATATATATATACATATATATATATATATATATATATATATATATATCCATTTACAAGTAAAATTACCTGGATGATGAAATTTTTGAAAAATTTTCCAAGAGAAGTAAAAGTGTGTGAAAGGTAATTTATTCATGTATTTACAGAGATATTTAGTGATTTTTTTTCAAAAAACCTAAAATGACTTCTTTTTAAAATTATCATATTGCAAAAGTTCAATGTGTACAGAATTTGTTGAGCTTTTTCTAAAGCACTTAGTGCAAAGTCCGTTTTCTGAATTGCCAATTTTTTTCTTACCACAGAAGTATAAAGAGAATTTCAAATATGATCCTGATATTGCACTTCCTTCCATTTTTAGCAAGCTTCACATGTGATAAAACTTTGCAAATGCTTGCTAGTTTTATAGTGATTTCACTTTATTTTTCAGTAACATGTGAAGAACTCTACCTGAATGTACTTATTGAAATATATAATAGTGTGTTAGTCTGTTTTCTGTTGCTATAATGGAACACCTGGGGCTGAATGATGTATAGAGAAAAGAGGTTTGATTAGTTCACAAGTCTGGTGGCTTAAAGTGCAAGATTAGGCAACCCCAATGGTTCAGCCCTCATGAGGGCCTTCTGGCTACATCATAAAATGGCGGACAGCATCATGGTTGAATCACATGGGAGAGGAAGTAGGCAGTCACAGGAAATGAGAGTTCAGGGGATAGGCTTTTTCTTTTCCTAACAACTCACTGTTGAGAGAACTGACTCACCCTATGAAAGCAGCATTGATCCCTTCAGAGGAGGGTGCGCCGCTTTGACCTATTTACCTTGTACTAGGCTCCATCTCTTAAATAAGGTTCCATACTTTCAGTATTGTCAAACTGGGCACCAAGATTCTAACACATGAAACTTTAAGAAACACATTCAGACTGTACCCAGATCATAGAAAATGATCATGTAGGATAGTGGAAAGATTTCAGACTTCAGCCTCAGTGCTGTCACTCACCAGGTATGTGAACCTTAGCAAGTTATTATATTTCTGCTCTTCAGCTTCTTCCCTGGCAAAGTGGGGAACATAATAGGGCACGACTCTCAGATTTTTTTGCGAGGATGGATAAGATTAGGTAAAGTGCTCAGCTTGATTCTAGGCACATTGTATTCACTCATATTTTGAGTTTTTACTGTGTGCCACCATCTGTGCCGAGTACTGGGCATAAGAAGAATAGATCCATGTAGGCTCAGTTAACCTGTAAGTTAATAGAGGTTGCAGAAAAGTCTAATGGACATACAATGAGTAATTGAAAACTGATATGTGCTCAGAAGAAAATCTGTAGGAGAGAACTTGATCCAGTTGGGATTCAGGGAAAGTTTTTCTGAGTAAGCAATGTTTAGGCAGAAACCCAAAGATTGAATAAATTGTAATTAGTTGAACAGGATGAGGAATGTTCAAGGCTGAGAAAAGAGCTTACGCAAAGCCTGAGGCAATGGGGAGAATGATTTTTTCTATGATTGGCATTGCATCAAATGTCTATTGCTAGATATTTAACCAAACCATTTTTCAGTTTCTGACTATACAAATTTTATGGGGACTATGAAGGTTAAATCATATCTTCTTGCTAGTGTGTGAAGTAAGAAAGTGTACTTAAAGCATACTACTGTATACATACAGTATACCACAAATGTTCATTTGTACACTACAAATGTTCTCTCCTCCAATATCTGGGCTTCGCCATTGAGATGCTTAATGTAAATCAATTGCTTAATTAATTGGTAATGTGAATCAATATGTATGTGAAATAATTTATGTATATAATATCTCTATATTTATGTAGATAATATCTATATATCTACATCTACATTCAGCCATTGTGTGGGCATCCAGCACTACATCTGGAGACACAGCTTTGTTTGTGCAAGGTGAAGTTTTACCCCAATGAAATCTGAGCCTTTTTTTTCTGAGTTTCATTTCAAAAGTTTTCATACTATTAACTTCCTTTGCTAAAGTCCCAGAAGTGGGCTGCATAGGAAAAAGAAAATTGGAATGATGGCTAGAGCATTCTCCAGCTATATATGTATCAGGTAATAATCTGCTCTATGTAGGATAATAACAAGACACTAATTTCAATTCACTACCGACTTAACATATGCTGACTCTATGCTAGACATTAAAGTAGTTGCTGGGTAATCAAAAATTATTAAAACAGAGTCTATATTCAGTGAGGGAGACTTTTATATAATAAAATTAGTGCTTATTAGTCTTCTGCTCTCCTCAACGGTAGCAAACCAAGCCTGGAGGCGAAGAGTAGGAAGCAATACAAACTGGAGAATAGCTCGCCATCTCGCCCCAAAATGTGCCCAGGCAATTTCCCCCCAGTGCTGCTTTCTGCTCAACTTTAATGAAATTAGGGCTCACCCAGAAAAAGCGCCTTCATTTTAATGCTCAGAAATACCCCTGCCATTGAGCTGAATATCCACTGTCCTCCCCACTGCTCTCCTGCCCTTATTCACATCTACCTCAGGTCTGACACCACTGTGTCTTCTTGGAGTAACTTAGGCCACATGAAAAAAATCCCAGCTGATAGGAATATTTGGAAATGAATTTTCAGCTTCCTCTCCTTCATTTTACAGTAAAGCATAACAAAAGGGTTTTAGATTAGGAGCTGAGTGAAAATGTTGTCAGTACTCTCCATAGTTCACATCTTTATCTGGGTCTGCAAAAACCTATAATTAAACTTCAAAACAACAATGGCAATAGAAACGTTCTCCCTGCAACTATCCTTTCTTTCCAAAGGGAAAATCAAAGTCTTGACAGTTACTAGAGACATTCTCATGTACATCAATCCTTCAGTTGAGGAGGTGGCTAACTATTGTCTTCAGGCCAAATCCAGCCACCATTCATGTTTGAAAAGTAAAGTTTTTTTGGAACATAGTCATGCTCATTTGTTTACATGTTGTCTTTGGCTGCTTTTTTGTAAACTCAACGACAGAGTTGAATCATTGTTGGAGATACTGCATCCACACAAGCCCTAAAATATCTACTATCAGGCTTTTTACAGAAAATGTTCACTGACCCTTATTCTAGCCTCACCACGATCCTGTCTTGATATCCCATAACCAAATTGTTATATTAGTCACCATTAACTCACCAAGGGAAATTACAGGGGACAGGGAAATATATTTTTTAAAGAAATGGTTAATATCTTTTAACAAGTAAGAAATATGAGTATAAACTATGATCGTCATTTCTAGACTTTTCTCCTCCTATGTCCTTGTTCTCTTTACCCTCAGTTAATGAAGGTACCCTCCCTGAGGACATTACACTATAGTGGGCTGTGAGTATCTCCCAGAAGTCCTTGTGTTGAAAGCTCCATCTCAGGTTGACGTTATTGGGAGATGGTGCAACCTTGAGGAGGCAAGGCCTAGTGTGAGGTCCTAAGGGCCTTGGAGGACTGCCGTCAAAGGTGAATGTGGGATCCTGATCTCTTCCTCTTCCTGTTTCTTCTACCTCTTTGCTTCTTTTTTCATGATATTTGCTGTTTTCTCCACAGTGTGCTCCTGTCGTGATGTGCTGCTTTGCCAGAGGCCCATAGCAATAGAGCCACTCAATCATGAATTGGATCTCCAGGACTATGAGCCAAATAAACACTTTCCCTTTGTAAGTTAATTGTTATAATGATGGAAAGATGACGCATACGGCATATTTTCACTCCTCTGGATCTTAGTCTCATCAGCTGGCGTCTGTGGTTGCTGGAGTTGCTCATGGACCATTGACTATGTCCTAGGAGTACTAGGAGAGGATCCACGGAAATCACTGGCTTCCAGACACATGCCTCTCTGCTTATTCTGTGGAGTTCAGACCTTCTTTTTTCTTGATTATTATGAACAATCACCTCAATTCACAAAGTATTCCCTTGGTCCTATTCACCTACAAAGTCAGGGGATTGAGGTTTTTAAAAATTATCAGGTGGCGTTCGTATCTTCTAGGTCAATGGAACTCTTATTTTGTCAGCCAAAGTTGTCCTTCTTCCTTTTGGTGCTGTATAAGCAGAACCTCAAAAGAATGGGAAATAAAAATCTTGCCAGGAGTTTTTAAGTGGTAGCACTGAGAAGTGCTTTTCCAACTTGTGTACCTTTTGGTCCTTGTTATGGGCTGAGTTATGTCTCCCCTGACCTAAATTTACATGTTAAAGGATTAACCCCCAGTACCTCAGGATGTGCCTGAATTTGGAAATAGGACTTTTATGGGGATAATCATGGGAAACGAAGCCATTAATATAGGCCTTAATTCAATGTGACTGATGGCAAAAGGAGGAGATTGGGATACAAACCTCCAGAGGAAATATGGTCTACAAGTTATGAGAAAAGCCTGGTAAGTATTCTTCCCTCACAACCCTCAGAAGAAGACAACCCTGGGGTAAACTTGATTTTGGACTTGCAGCCTCTAGAATATTGAGAAAATAAGTTTCCATTATTTAAGCCGCCCTGCGTGTGGAACTTTCTTAAGGCAGCTCTATCAAACGAATACACTCTCAGACCCATGTATTTTGACTAGGAGATAAACAGCACCATATATTGTTTACTTATTTAGAACAAATTAAAGAACGATAACTCAGACCGTCTGCTGGGGTTTTAAGTCTTCAGTAGACATTTGCTCTTCCATAAAGTCCGCTGCTTTTGATTGGTGGAAAGTATCATAAGACCCATGTCTTCTGTGAATGGAAACTATTACTTTATTCTTTTGTCATAAAAGTGAGTGAGTTAGAGGTTATAGCTTGTGGTCTACTTTAATGGCAAGTCCGACCATGGTGATGTTAGCATAAGCATGCCCAGCAGAAAGGGCAAATCCACAACCAGGATAAATGTACTCCAAAGAGGAGAAATGACTTCATGGATGGCTGATATTTCAGTGGTGTGTGCTAGCAGTTGGTTTGTGTGGTTGGAAGTTTGGGTGATCACCAATGGAATTAGCCAGATAAGGCGTTGTGCCATTATAAAAGTGCATACTTTCAGTCCTGCCACTATTATTACTTGATAAACAAATCTACAGAGAAGTCCTTAAGTACCTAGACAAAGATGCAAAATTTGCATTCACAGAGTAAGTAATCTTGTCCATATGATTGTTAATTAACATCCTGAAGAGAGCACTTTGGATTAGTATTGGTATACAAAAGTATTAATATTTGATTAATTTTGAAAAGTTCACACACGTCTTCCCTGAAACCTTGTCATAAATCCAATTCCTCTACCATCCAAACCACTAATTACTACCTTCTGTGAATAATTATAGATTGGAGTATCCAGCTATTATTCCTCTTGATCTTTCCCTCCTGCTGTGACCACACCCTTGATTGGGCCACATTATACAGTCATCCATTTATGGCGGGTGTTGGGATTCTGGACAAGACCATTTCTAGATTAAACTAGTATTTTCTTCCTCTTTAATGAATTTCTAAAGGGTAACTTTCATCAGGTCTTGTATGTAGCAGTATAGGAGAAGTAGGTGTACTAGGAATATGTATATAACAGTATATGCTCATGCAGCTTATTTGTGTTTTCAGGACTTAGTTGAGTCTTTTATTAAATATAAATCTTTATTTGACTGTGAGATGCTTCCTGTTCATAGCTTGGTAAACTAATAACGTCAAATTATCACACGTGTCTTGGATATCATAGTTACTTTTTGTCCTATTGTCCATCTTCTCAGGGCCCAGGAACAAGTCAGAAACTATTTTCTAGAAGAACAGTGATGTTTTAAGGTGTTTGTGGTTATTTTCCAAATTTCAAGGGAATTATACTATAATCCTCCCACTTAGACTTGCTACAACAACCACATAATATCCTGTTTTGTGACAGACATTTTAAACAACACTGAGTTTTCTGGGTCATAAAGGCCAATTGGCACAATTATTTGCCATGCAACTAGAAAGCTGGGGGCTTTTTCTTTCCATGCCCCCCATTCAAAGATGGCAGCCTTACATATTATTCAAATGTATCAAAATGAGGTACATGTTAACTCACCAGAAACCTGAATAAAGTGGTAGATAACTGAATATCCACAGAATTTATTTTCAACACTCTAGCATGCATGTGTTTTATGGCATCTAATATACCTGCTACTTTGTTTGCATGCTACTATCATGTTATTCAAGTAGTACACTACCATGATATTCTGTAAAATGGTAAGACAATCCAAGTCCCTGCAGAATTAATTCTGGCAATACTCCAGAGACTATCTAGAGCTCTGTGGCAAGAGAATGTGGGCAATCTGTTGACTATGTTAGGTGAAAACAAATTTACATCCAATTAGCTTAAAAGATACTTCCAGGGTTTTATAATGAATGGAATGGGGTGGGGGAAGCATTACTCAGATAAGTGGCTGCATATCACAAGCCAAATACTATGTGAATGTTCTAATAAATAGTCTAAAATAGAAAAAAGAACAGCAGTTGAAATTAACATCTGGAAATAGGAGCAGCAGTTGAAATTTATGTCCAATTAGCTTAAAAGATGCTATTATTATTATTACCAAGAAACAGGCAGGCAAATTAGGTAAAAATATGATGATATCAGCATCCTGCTTACCAATTCTCTTATAGATGCGGTATTTTTAAAGTTTGTCTTTTTGGAAGTCTTACCTAAATGGATTAGAAAGCCAATGTACAGTGGTTTATGTAAATTTCTGGGTATATTTATTTCAGTTATAAATACAGGGATCATGGAAATGACCAGAAAGTGTATTTAAAGATTCTGCTAGCCAGCTGTGGCATGATTCAATACAAACTTAGTTTGTCATGTGATCCACAGAGACTTCCACTGTGGCAAGCAGATGGTAGTGTCTAGGACCCCCAGAGATTAGTACTAGGATTACACATTCCCCAAAGTGTTGGAGTAGTTGTCTTTTGTCAGTGTGCAGCTACTCTGATAAGGGGCTGTGGTCAGAACATCTTTGAGGGCCTTTCTTTAAGAGTACCAGCTTCTTGAATCAAGGGACCTTGCAGCCAGGAACTGACTGAATCTGGAGTTGGCTGATAGATCATAACTCTCCACTGCCAGACCTACAGTTTTCAGTTATGCAGATTAATTAAAATTAGTGTGCTGCCAATCATCTTTTAACCTAAGGGACTGTGAGACTTATAATTCATGGTCAAAGATCTTTGCAGATCAAATCATTCTGATTATCATTTAAATATTACTGTCTGTTATAGTAACCACTTATTTTAGTTAGTTTTTTTGCCACTGTGACCAAAAACCTGACAAGAACATTTTTTAAATTGGTGCATTATAGTTGTACATATTAATGGAATTTGTAGTTGCACATTTGTTCATGCACACAATATAACAATATAATTTGGCCAATATCAATCCCCAGCACCTCCCCCATCCTTACCTCCCTCCTACCTTTTCTCCCTTTCTCTGCTGTTCTCCCTTTGATTTTTAGGAGATCCACCCCCAGCTTTGTTTTCTGTTTTCCTCTCTAGCTTCTACCTATGACAGAAAACATATGATCCTTAACCTTCTGAGTCTGATTTATTTCACTTATCATGATAGTCTCTAGTTCCATCCATTTTCCTGCAAATGTCATTTCATTTTTCTTTATGGCTAAATAAGAATACCACATTTTCTTTATCCATTCATCCATTCATGAACACCTAGGCTGGTTCTGTAGTTTTGCTATTGTGAATTGTGCTGCTATAAACATAGGTGTGCATGTTATCAGTGTAGTAAGATGCCTTTAAATCTTCAGGATAAATATCAAGAAGTGGTATAGCTGGGTCCTGTGGTGGTTCCATGCCTGGCCTTTAAAGGAACCTCCATGATGATTTCCACAGTGGTTGTACTAATTTACAGTTCCAACAACAGTGTAAAAGTGTTCCCTTTCCCCCCACATCCTTTCCAACATTTATTATTATTTTTTTCTTGATGACTACCATTCTGACTGGTATGAGATGAAATCTCAATGTAGTTTTGACTTGCATTTCCATGATTGTTAATGATGTTGAACGGTTTTCATGTATTTGTTAGCTGTCTGTGTTTCTTTTTTTGAAAAGTTATCTGTTTAGCTCATTTGACCATTTGTTAATTGTGTTATTTTATTTCTTGGTGTCAAGTTTTTTGAGTTCTTTATATATTCTAGATGTTACTTTTCTGTTAATAAAGTAGGTAGCAAAGATTTTCTCCCATTCTGTGGGTTCTCTTTTCACATTCCAAATTGTATCCTTTGCTGTGAAAAACTTTTTTTGTTTTATTCTGTCCTATTTATTAACTCTTGACATTACTCTCTGAGCATGAAGGGTCCTATTTAGGCACAGTCATTGCCTCTGTCTAAAAGCTGGAGTGTTGACCCTTTCTTCTAGTAGTTGCATAGTTTTATGTCTAATTCTAAGGTCTTTGATCCATTTTGAGTTGATTTTTATGCAGGGTGAGAGATAGGGTCTAGTTTTATTCTTCTATGCAGTGTTAACCTGTTATTCCAGCCCTACGAGTTAAAAAAGCTGTCTTTTCTTCAATGTATGTTTTCGGTACCTTTGACAAGAACAATTTTGGAGGAGGAAAAGTTTGTTTGGTGTTCACAGTGTCAGGGGTCTCAGTCCACAGATGACCATTCCATTGCTCTGTGCCCAAAGTGAGGCAGAATATCAGGGCAAAGAGGCCTAGTGGAGAGAAGCAGCTCCTGACAGAACAATCAGGAAGCAGAGAGAGACTAAACTTGGTTCACCCAGGGACAAAATGTAAACCCCAAAGGCCCAGCCCAAGTGACCCACCTCTTCTAGCTACACCCTATCTGCCTACAATTATAACCCAGTTAATCCATTCAAGTGGATTAATGCACAGATTAGGTTAAGGATTTTGTAACCCACACATTTCACCTCTAAACTTTCTTGCATTGTCTCACACATAAACTTTTGGGGAACTCCTCATTGCTAAACCAAATTGCCACTCTCACTTTGTTTTTTAAACATAGTTAATGATGTTTACCTGGCTCACACAACTTCAGGATCTCCTTATTGCCACTGAAATTAGGAAATCTTTCTCAACAGCAACTTCTTTCATCTTCACTTCTGGCCTATAGAAGATACAAACAAGTGTTCTTTAAAAAATCTTGGTACTTTCTTCATTGATGGCTAAGTAGGTAACACCTAATAAGTTCTTTCTGATAATTCCATATTGTTAATCTTCAGATTCCTTTATCTACATTTTAACAGGGACTTACTGCTCTCTCAACTTCAGTTCAGCCCATAGACTGAGTTTTATCAATTATCAGCATAATCAAAACTATTGATAATGAATGAAATGAGCACAATGAATCCAGAATCTAAGTACACTCATGTAAAAATCTTGCCAGATCTTAAATTATCTTTCACCCTCATC